TTGGGTTAGTCTTACTTGGTTTTGAATACAATACAGTTGTAACTGGACACCAAATTTCTTTCCTGTATCTTCTCCAGTAGCTATTTGTCCAGCCCTAAATGTGACGTGAATGTCATCATCAACATGGCTATCCCCATTTTTTTTCTTCGCCGCTTTGTTCTACATTTGATTTGAGTTTGAAGCGTTTGACTTGGCCAACGACAAAAGCTTAGCAGCGGCTGAGTGAGAAGGAATTCTGCCACTGATGTGACGTGTGCTTGGCCTTCTTCAAAGTCTTGATGGAACATAAATACGTAAGAACCTGGTAATAAAAGTCAGAGAGAATAACACACACTTTAGCTTACGGCATGGACTCTGAAATACCTTGATGACATATTATTCTTCCACACATCCTTTAAACAATTTAGTGTGAGCATTCAGTGTGACCTTGAAGACCTGTAGTCAATAAAGTAGGAGCTGACACAGTATGTGTACCTTATAAAAAATATATGGCTACATTTTAAAATTTTTTCATATTGTCTCTAGTCAGTGACAATAAATTTCGATCTTGAAGAGGGTTCTGTCCTTCACAACTTCTTTTCTTATTGATTGCCATAAAAGAAGGGTGAGATAGGATGCAGCACAAAATGCTTAGAATCAAAAGCACTGGTTACTCTCAAATTATAAAATTTGTAGGTATGGTATGAATATTTAAATTTACCTTCAATCTATGATTCATGGTTTTCATAAAGCATTTCAAGTCAGTCAATACATAGATCACATATTTGAGTACAGTAAAACACACAGTTAAAGAGCATTAAATTTTTCATCCACTTCACTTTTATATGGAAATTTGCTCCCCCCAGTCCCACTTGGAAAGCCACAAGGGGAATTTATTCTATATTCTTACCTTTTTTATAACATCTGACACAACTAAATAAGAGGCTGACAGGTCCAAACTCACTTTCAGAAATGAGTGTTTGATTGAACTAAAGGATATAAGGCAAAAAACACAAACAGAATCAGAATCTCAGTAGCATATATGTTGTGAACACACGTAAACTTAACAAAGATGCCTTTAACAAGTTGGTGTAACATGTCCAGTCCACTCAAAAGGTACAATCGAAGAACAGCTCCCCCAAAAATCTGTTAGCTGTCTGTTGGTAGACTATGACCAACAGTCAACTGACAGTCGACCAACAAAAAGCCCACTGTTGGCCAAAAAATAACAAACAGTTGGCCAACAGTTTTCCCAATTTAAACCAAATAGTGTTGGCCGACAGTTGTTTAACTGTTGGTCACTTGTCTGTTGACGTCAACACATTTTTTTGAGACACGGAACTATTGCTTCAAGTTGTTGCAGCATATAGAGCTGCTGATTGTTTGTCGGTGAACTGTCTGTTGACAATCTACCGACAGACGGCAGACAGATTTTTGGGTTAATTTTACCACTCAAAATGAGCCAGCAGCTGGCAATTTTGCTGCTTCCAATGGAATATTTGATACCTTTCAACACTTAAGTTTAATAACGTAAAACAAAAACCAAACAAGCTTAAACCCTTTGCTGCCTGCTACTCCAGTTTATCCTGCTGACTGCTGCAAAACATTCTGACTGGGCTGCAGAACTGAGCAAACTTTTTATTCTCTTGTTCGACTTCAGTCAAATTACGTTCTATTTTGATGACTTACCTTGAGCCTGGAACGTCAGGAGATGTAAATCTACACATAACACAGAAAAATGACAATCAATCAACAGCAGATGAGTCGAGAGAGAAAAACATGCAAAAAGGGAGTTTTTCATAAGAATAAATGTAGCCTAATCACCTTATTGTTTGTAGGCAAGACCAGGTAACTGTACACCAAACTTTAATCTCTCTGTTAAATTGAGCTCCTGTGATTAAAAATCTCCACATTGGGAGTCTGTGAGGAAAACAAAATATATTCACCAATAAGCAAAAATGCTTGATGCAGTGGCAGATCTAGGGGAGGGGCCTGGGGGTACCGGGCTCCCCCCTTATTTTTAGACCAAACTGAGGCCTGACGGGCCAAAAATTTTTTTTTGAGACCACCCCCCCCTTATGTCAGGGTCTGGATGAACCCCCACCCACCCCCCCCTATCTGAAGGTTTGGATCCGCCACTGTGATGGGACCACTATGATCCTTTCTCTGTTATAATAAAGCGCGTACTGTGTTACATGTTACAAATGTTTGATGGATTCAGAAACAGTATTACTTCTCAAGTAACAAAAACTTAATGAACCCAAAAAAATGCATATTTTCCTGCCTCTTTTCATGCAAACCTGGACAACCAAGTAAGACTACCTTGCCATTCATTGTAACAGTAACTAATCACAATGACCACTAAAACAAAACTGTCAAATCTAGATGGTGATCAGCGACTATGATTTCAGTGTTAAGAGGACAGTGTAATGGGTCAATCTGCATCATTGCTACGAGTAATCTGACAGGACATGCCATCTTGGGTGATGTGATTGGACATTTGCACATGAATGGGTTCCGTTCTTGTCTAATTTTGTTTAAACACTTGCATGATTGGACTCCACTCAGTCTCATTACCATTTTTAAGGGTAGATTGTAGACAGTCCTCTTTCAGATGGTTGAGTCAAGGCTCACCAGGAATGGAGAAAGTGAATAACTGAGAGGGTAACTTCCCCTCTTTGCCACAAGTTACAATGTATCTGTTGTTCCCTCACTCAGTTGCCTGATTTGTTCACTCAAGCCACTATCCTGAGGAACTGCTTTCACTTGAGTGTAAGGGATCAGGATACTAAGTCTTAGGGTCTATGACATGTGTCTTTGCACCATAATACTTGTAAAAAATGTTGAAACATTTGTGTGTTGTTATCTTTTTACCAAGGTTGCCGGATTTGGGTATTACAGTCATCTCGGGGCCACTTTTCATGTGCTGACCCTAATCCATTCATATTAAGTAGATGAAGAGATTGACATTTGAATTAATTAAGTTTGACATGTCTAATTTGAGTCGACCCATGAAAAAAGATCAAGTAGCCCACATGGCATTTTAAGCATTTTAGGCCATAATTGAACATCATGAAAATGAATTGAGTCTGACCAACGAAGTTCGACATCTGAATGAACCATTAAACTTTTATCATTTGGGACGACCTTAATAGGTATTAAGTTCAGTACATGAAAATATTGACATTTGAACTGGGCCTCACTGCCCCAAAATACATGTGGCTTGACATTGGGGAAGGAGAAGGGCACATCTGAGAGCAAAGGAGTGAAGAGTGTTTGCAAGACATTTTCAAGAAAATTCAAGAGAAATGGTGTCTGTTTCAACGTTTTGTAACAAGTATTGTCGCTTCTTTTTATATTCAATCTTTCACTTACTCTTTATCTTGTGACAACTGATTATCAGTGAACACCATACATGACAATGGTAAGCCATTGTGTGGTTGAAATTCATGCATACACTCTACTTTGTCAGACAATTGCCAAAATTTGATGAAGCCATCTTCGCTGGCTGTTGCGAGTACTGATCCATCAGGAGATAAAGCACCCTCCGTGATTTGCTACGATAAATTTAAATTAAGAAGTCGAATTCATTTATCATTCAACAAAGTTATGATCAGTCCATAGGTAGTATTTGAGTCACATTTACACCTCAAGAATCGACAACTGGATTAATGAATGAATTAATATTAAGCAGTACAATTTACATTTGATACTGAGTGTTTCATTTCCCAAGTATGATAAAAATATTTGTGTCAGATCTGTATGGGTTATACAATTGCTTGCCTTTGGCTTATCACTGTAAAAGCTCACAGGCATACATATCTCTACTCATATTTTATCTAGCGCATAAAAAACATTTTGTCTAAAGTGAAGAAGCCTTAAAATGTAAAGGTAAAATCCATTCTCAGGTTAAACCAGAATTTCAATTGAACACATTACTCTACCTTTGTGTGCCCATCGGTGATTTCCAAATACCCTTCACCTTGCCTTATCTCATCAACAGCTACTTCTGTTCGTTCACACCATTGAGACAGAGTGTCAATGTCTATCACTTCCACCTAGAAAAAGCAAGATCATGATGTCTCCTTTCCATTATCTGTGTTGCCAGGTAGCTTAAAAGAACCAATGTGAAAATATAATGATACAAAAAAACCTTTTCGGGACAAAAATGATATTCTAATGGGAAGGATATGACACTTTCACTGAAACACCGCTCTTTAAACCTTTTCCTCACTGAAGGGCCTTTCTGACATTCTGCCAACTTCAAAAGGAGAAAATAACACTTTCCTTCCTCCGCCCCCTGAATATAAAATTGTGTTGCTGTTCGAACTAACCTGTAGCAAACAACAAACACCCTAACTTAGAATAGAGGGAAGGGGGGAGGTGTGTGAACTGGTTTGTTCTCTGAATTATTAACGACATTTGATGACAGTGTCACTGGTGCTTTTTCTCCAATGTGAAAAAAAGTGTCCTGATCAGGTACAGTTGTCTGTAATTTAAACGTTAAGTTTTTATCAAGTTCAAATGTATGTGATCCGTATTTTTTACCTGGTTATTATGTGTGATAGCTAATGGTCCTGAAGGTTCAGTGTTTCTTTCTTGCTCCTCAGTATCCACCATATATGGAGTCCATACCAATCTGTGATGTTCACAGAGAGTGCCAGCAGGACGTTTAATGTGAAGTTTTACTGAGTATCTTAGGACAGGGTCAAGGTCATCAAAAAATACCTCAAACTCTTGTTTTCTAGGATCCAGGATTTGACTAAAGGGCTCTTATGCATGATTATGTAACACGAGCAAATTTCCATGCCTCATTTGTAAGCAAAATTCTTTGCATTTGCGCTCTTCCCGCATGGGCTTAAAGCTATCCATATTTTCTCCAAGAGAATTTTCAATTAGTTAATAATAAAATTTCCAAATTTAATTCAGTTTACGATAATACTGAAATAATATTTTGGTGTAAACATGTCATCAACAGGATACTCAAGTTTTCCATTTTCCTCATGGATGACCCAGATGTAGACATTACCACCCTCATCAACACAAGCCAGAGTGTCAGAGTCTCTGTGACTGAAGGCCAACTCACTGATCGTACCAACAAATCCTTTAATCAGTGTCCTAGAAGCTGTTTCAGGGTTCAAGAGCCTTACCACATATCCTTGACGACCTGTCAGAAATGTTTGCAGGCATCAAAATAACAATATACAGAAACTTCAATACAGTGAATAAAACCTAAAATTAATATTGGAATTATTATGGAGTATGTACCTTTAAGAGCATAGGCAATACACTTGCTGCTAACAGCTATCAAACAACCTCTGTAGTACTTAAGCTCCCATTCATAATTCACCATTGAATTAAACTTAATCTGCAAAGAATCAAACAAGATTAACCATTAATAGTTTCCACAGTCAATTATGAAGAAATGAAATGCAACTCTCCCTTTTGAGTCTGCAAGGCCAAATCCTGAGGTGTGACCATAAAAAAAAAATAATCTATCTGATCATAAAAGTTCATTTTCTTTCTTACATTTCAGTTTCGCAGTTTCGAGTGAAAGGATTAAAAAGGACTTTGCTCCCAAAAAGTTATAAAAAGCCAAAAGTCCACCTCTGGATTTTTACTTTCTGTAGAAGTACTAGGAGAACGCACCTCTCCAGAAAAAAGTCTACCTTTTTTTGAGAATATATGTCAACAGCACTAGCACTGAGGTTTCAAGTTGCAAGTTAAATATGAGGTTCTTTGGGCTTAATTTGTCTTTTGTTTCCTTTGAAAGTAGCAGGAGTTCAGACAAGGTTGTCACTGAGGGCTAGGAGCCACACGGATTTTCTCCCCTGGTTACTATGAGCAAGATCCCTCACTACTTTTAGAGAAAACAAAAGAAAAAAGCACATAAAAAGCTTCCTAGCTGTTCACTTCCCACCTACTAATTAATTGCATATCCCTAGCAAATTGAAATCTTAGTAACATCCCAGCGTTCATGCTCATGGTAGCCAGGGAAAATTACCAGCCCCCAGCAACAGCCCTTAGGCCAAGTGGTTAATAAGGTTAATGTTTACATCAGAATCAATGACAATCATGCTTATAGGGGCATATGAGTCCAAGGTATCCGGAAATTGCAGAATGAAGCATATACATGTACAGCAACTCTCCTTGGATAGGATATTAATAGTTTGACACTAGCACTTTTAAGCCCTACCTTATTGCTTGCTGTTGATGTTGTTGAAGCAGCTGATTGTCTGGTTACAATTTCTACATCACTGCCATAAACTGATTTGCTTCCTTCACTATCATTCCCTGTCAAATGACTTCAGAAAAAAGGGCACAATTATCCATAAAATCAAAGAATGTCAAGTATAATGGACAGTATTTTTAGGAGCATAACAGTTTCATCATCAGAAAAAAAAGCAAATTAAAAATGCAGCTTACATGACTTGTTTTACAGGTTCAAGGGACATCCTTGAATTAACTCCTTCACTGTCAGACGTGGACACATCAGACATGTGTTCCTTTCCCTGTAACAGAGTGCGAGTTCATCAAACATTTTATTGTCATTCTGAAGTAAATTTACCCTTTGCAGAAGGGAGAACAAACACAATTATCCAAAGGTGTTGTAAAGTAGATGATGTGCATTTTAGCTGTCAAGCCACCTGCAAGCTTCAATGGAATACACTGACTATTTGCATGGAGAAATACAATATCTTTAGTTAAGACTAATTTGATAACCTAGGCTAATTTATCAACAATTTCATTCACTTATCATCTAATTCTGTTTAAATGCCATAAGTCTCCCTACCCTATTAATAAAATAATAAATAAATAAGTCCCCCTACCCCTGAATCAATGTTGTTTGTAGTAAAAGAAGACTTGGGGGTCTAAACTACAAAACTGATTTTGAGGGAAGGTGTGGGGATACACAGGGGGAGGGGATAGATAGGTCCATTAAGCAAAAATGGGCTATTTTATAGAAGTGCCTTGACACTTTTGTCCCTCATTGTTGGTCAATAAAGGATTTATTATGATGGCGAAAAAAAGCAATTTTTGTTGCGAGACCAACATGGGGAATCCTGAGCAGGGTGGCATGGGCCCACCCTACCTGCTCAGGTAGCCAATCAGAACATGGTATTCACATCATATTGCACCCTCACTGAGTCATTCATTTAATAAATAGCTTTACAGAATAATATGACTGAGTTACAAACTAAGTCTTTTGATCAAGTTACAAAGAATGATTCTTACCCTTCTCAGAGGAGAAAGGGAACTTTCAGTTGAGGCTGTTTCACTGCAGAAAGAATAACAGTATTAATTATTATTATCATTATTATTATTAGTAGTAGTAGTAGTATTTTAGTAAAACTTAGCAGCTGAGTAAGACAAAAAAAAACAGACAATTTGAGACAGCTATTCCCTAGACGTTCCAATAATCAAGCAAGAACTGGAAACTCCCAGATGATCAGGTGTTTCCGTGTTCTTAGATTGTGCCAATAAGTTGGGAAAATCCCCGCATATGAATCGGACACCCATTTAATAACTATAAAATAAGAGAAAGTGAAGTCAAGCATTGACAGGACTGGTACCAAGGTAATAGGCAACATCTCCCTCAGTACACATTTCAGTTTCTGAATGGTTGCCTTTGAGTAAGGAAAAGTATCTGGAACACATGAGGTTACTAATATCTATAGGTTCTGCGAGAATATGCAGGCCATACATATAAATAAATGTAGCCCCTACACTCCATACCTTATGGAATCATCAACATCTCTCTCACCATTCCCTTGTCTTTCTGTATCATTGTTTACTTTATTATCTAATGGGACAAAAGGTACTGACATCAGTATGTAGACAAACATATAAATAAAAAGGAGAAGCAAAGTGAAAGAGATAACGATTTTGAATTTAATAGGTTTCATATAAATGTTACAGACGGATGTCTGGGACACATGGATGCATGATCTAGAATGCACGGATATGAAGTGCAGGATACATAAAAGAGGAGCATGTGTCTTACAGGGGGCTTCCCACTGATGTACAGTATTGGGGGACATCTCAGACGACTAATGGTCAACATACTGATTGCTATGTCGGTCGAGTGTCAGTCGAGTGTCGGTCAAGAGTCGGTCAGTAGAGCCAATATACCACTTGACTGACATCCGAGACAGAGTCACTAACCACGCTTATACCCTCCAGCATTTCATATCAAACTCACGTAGTACAAATACTCTCAACCAAGATTCGACTGAGGCTTGACCAATATATCGAAAGATATGTCAAAACACTAGTTAACCGTTATAACAACCAAGTGTCGCTGATCTGCCAGTGATCCATTGGCAAAGTAATGACCAACTATCAACCAGTAGACTGTACTGGCCGACTACTGACCACGATCAATACTTGACCAACACTCGACCAATAAATTATGGCGTCTGATACGTTGACCAACAGGTGACCGAGATGTCAGGTGATACATCGGTTGACATACAGTCCATAAAAGGAACATGGAAGTGAAAATTGACCATCTTTCTTTACTTCATATGAGATTTGCGAAGGGGAAAGGCAAACTAGGAGCCAGTACTATGGGATGTGGGGACGTAAAATAAGATATGCCAAAATGTGAACAGACAAAACAGCATAATAAGTTCAATTTAAATCAAGGGTTGTAATTACTTTAAAAAGATAAGAGAACTGAGTTCTTAATCAGCCTCACAAGATTATTTGATGCAAAGTACATTTTCCATGATTGAGATAGCAAAAGAATTTCAAACACTCCTGACAGGAGACAATATTGCTGGTTTTCAGCTGACGTCACAGGGGCCATGCTTGTGGACGAAAACAAAAGAGTTTCTCTCCACTGGGAACTAACTCTTTTTATGTGCAAATTCTGCGAAGGAGAATTTTACTGTTTTGTCCACCAGCATGGCTGCTGCCTTGTCACTTTGTTGAAAACCAGCAATAAGGACAAATTAATTCCACATTATTGAAAATTAATAATAATAAAATGGAGGTATTGGTGTTTGGATCTTAAACCTAGCTAGTTTCACTTGAAGAAAAATATGCGCCAAAACCGGCAAAAACTTTAAATTACAAGTTGTCTTTAATTTGACACTGAATATAAATTAAGCGCTACAAACTTGCAAATAGCTAATTTAACTGTTTAAAGTTTTTATCTTGCAGTTTTAAGCGGCTGCACTGAGTTAATCGTCTTATAACTAGCTTCATACGAAGTCTATTATTTTCCAGCCTAAGGGAGCTAAATTCCGCCTTCCAGAAACGAAGTAGAAATCGAAAATTCAAGACACAGTGAAGACTAGGAATTATAGGCAATGTTACCATTCCCACAGTTTGCAGACGCGCTGTCCCCCTTTGAAATGTTCAGCAAATCACAGAGTATTTTTGAGGCCATTCCCCTAGCATTGTCATCCATTTCCGAGTTATTCTATGGTTAATTTTGCCAAAATGACACACGAAACACACAAATACCATTTACAGAGAGGAAGTCGTCTCTTCTTTTTCAACATGGCGGAAGAAGTGCACGCATAAATTATTCAAATTTACCAAGGCTTGTTGACTGCGGGCGCAATAGTGAAAGTGAAAAAAAAATGTAAACAAAAAAAATTGCCAGAAAACATGGCTTTTTTGTTATTTCCAAAATTACATATATAAAACATGGCATAAAAAATCTCCTCAAAGAGTAAACAGTTTCATAAATAAATTCTAATGACTGCAAAAAAAAACAAAAGGAAAAAATTCATATACAAATGCAACGATCTAAACATGTGCTCTATGAATTAGGTGGATTATTTTCATTGACAAATAGGTACAATTGCTTTAAAAATTGCAATTGCTTTTCTTGTTTCAAGATTACCAAATGGTAAACTAACTTCCTGATTTTAGTACTAATATCTCTTACCCTACCACTACAGAGTAGTTCACATAGCTCGCCCCACCCTGACTGGTTAGACTTTTGTCCCACGCGCGAAAAGTGAAACGAAAATGGCGGACAAACAGTCAAAAGAGGTTGTTATTTCGACCTCATCTTCTGTCAAACTGTCACGATGGCGGGTTTCCGCTGGATCAGAAGTTAGAGAAGGAAGTGTCCTTTGTTTTTATGAAGTTTCTGGCAAAGCAGAGAGGACTGGATCGTTTGTAACTCAGCCAAAACTCAAATCCGCTTTTACTGGTAAAGTCCGTGAGCTGCTCGTTGCTGAGGGGGACATCGTCCCCGCAGGGTAAGGCCAAATCATAGAGCACCAGACATACAGATCGTAAAAAGTAACGGAGAGTTTTTCCAGATACCAAAAGAAGTTATTTATCATGTTTTCTTGGAAATACCACGTTGAGATTGCACATAAACTTCAGCTCACATGCTTTCGATGAGGTTGTTTTTGTTCAGGTCGTCTCTATTTGATTAATCAAGGGTTTACAGCGCTCGATTTTCGTCCCTATTGTTACAGCCTGGTCGCTTAGATTTTTAGAGAATAACTTGTTTAAGGTGTTGGAATGATCAGAGGATATGGATTTCAGCACGTTTTAATGGTATAAAGCAATCTGCGCAGCCTGCGAATTGTTTCAGCAATTAAGACACTTTTGAACTTGATGGTGACATTTTTGTAATGACAAGTTGTTGACAGGCGAAACTGGCAGACTGTGTTGCATGATTGCGAATCTTGGTAGCTTTCGGAAGAGCTTAGATGTCTCTTGATCGTTGTATTGTTGGGTATTTTTACTGCCTTTGCGATGTGGAAACGTGGTATCAACTCGTGATCAAGTAAATGTCGTGTTAGAGCGAGTTTTGATTTATCTCAGTTTCGTTAGATTTGATTGGACATTGACCGACCAATCCTGAATTTTCTTAAATTTTCCTCTTTTTTTGGCAATATTATTGTAGAATTTTAATGACGTGAATTGAATACTAGATTTTAAAAAGACATTTTACATACATGTACTAGTTTAAAGGTCCCAGCTGTTTCACACATGACTTGGCCTGCTTCAAACACCACAGTCTTTGGGGCAAATTAAAGTTATTTTTAAAAGTTCCCCAACATTTGACTGTTCATCTAGAAATCATTATGCTGGAACCCTTAAAGGCAGAAGGCTTAAAATAATTACCGGTATAAGGAAAAGCTAAATAGATGAGATACATACTGCAGACACAGTCAGGGTTTTTGGGTGAATTACACAGTGTATCTATAGGTTTTTTAAAACTGTATGGTATCTTTCACCTGCAATAACCAATGATTTTGAGGTACACTATACTACACCTTTCTCCATTTTGTTTTTATTCATTGCAAACTGGAGGAATTTTGGGTATTTTTATATTATAATGTTATGTTATTTTTGCCAGGCAGAATAGTATCCTACATCAACCCCCCCCCCCCCCCAAAAAAAAAAAAAAAACTGGCTGACCTTGATACTGGAAGAGTTTTGGGTATGTTCTCTACAATCCTCAGAATTTGAAGAAAGAACAGAACGCTTCTCAATTTAGAAAGCATGCTTTGATCAGTAGTTTATATTGTCTTAATTTTGTCGATAAAGACTGACTAATAAATTCATAGTTATCTCAGGGATTTGTTCAACTTAAGTTTTACATATTCAAGGCTGTGCTCTAAGGAAAATTCTAGGGAGCCCAACGCTCTGTATTTGAGTAACACAGGGTACCCAGCTGATGATTTCTACGCAAGAATTGAGATTTCCTAGTGTCGCCCAAAAGCAAAAGTATGGCACCAGGGGCCAACAGGTGCTGTTAGAGTACGTAGCCCTGAATTTCGTTTGATTTTTCAGGGCACCTGTATTGCTGATAGATAAAGCAACCGAGTGTGAGCACAAGATGGTCATGAAGGATCTCTGCTGTGACTGTGGTGCTGATCTTAGGAAGTAGGCATCTACATACTGTAACTCATTAGGTGTTGCAAATAACAAGTGTCTCTGTATTTCATAAAAAACTAATTTTAGGTTGGTCCTGGCTTTTCTCACTGGGAACTAGTTTTTACATCTCTTCTTAATTGCTTTTGAAGTTCTAGCTTCTAGCATTCTTGAGGGCTCTGGGGCACTTAGCATTTGTCAGGCTAGCCAGACCAATCCAGTTGTAAGGAGTATTCCACTATTAATCAGAACTTTCTGGCCAGATCCTTTTATTCCTAAACGGTATACACAGCAGTGATGGGTTTAAGTAAAAATTTAAGAAAAGCCTAATAATAATAATTTTCAAAATGACCGGTGTGGCCACCCAGTTCTGACTTTTCGAAAGCACCCGTAATGAAATTGCAGGTGGTACCAATTGAAATAGCATTGACATTCTAAGTAATCACGGATGCAAGTGTCATCGTATTTCTTAATACTCTTGTGTGGTTGATTGGTCAGATCCTGAGTCTGATCCATGGCAGTTTTCTTTCTAATGTTTAGAGTCATTCCCTCTTTCCTACGACTAAGGAGGCAGAGTGGCCGAGTGGTTGGTGTGCTGGACCTTGCCCCGCCCTGACTGCTAGCTGGATTTGTTCTAAGTAGTCCTGAGTTTAAATCGAAATAGCCAACTGGTTCACCTACTACCAGTTGGGATTTTTAATCATGTTACTTTCCATTTAAATTATTTGTTTCATTATCCCTGAAAAGCCCCATAAGGGGAGAGGATAATCATTAAATTATTATTATTATTATTATTATTATTATTATTATTATTATTATTATTATTATTATTATTATTATTATTATTATTACCAACCTCTTACCCCAGGGGGTGAATCACGTGTCGAGGGAGGAAGATGCTTGTCAGAAAATAAGAAGTAAATGAGACCATTCTCTAGTTGCAGTAAAGACATGTCATTGAATATTTCTTCTTCTTCTCCTTCTTCTCATCCTCTTCTGCTTTCTTTCTTTTTTTTTCTACGAGCACTGACCTAAGCAGTACCGGTTTGGGCTAAAACACTTGCATTCTAATCTAAGTGATACTAAAATACAGTGGCTGCAGTAATATTTTTACTGTCCTAAATGAAATGACAAACGTCACCACCCCATTCACTCCCCCAAGCATCTGCCATTGAAGCTGTTGAAACATCTAGACTGGAGTTTGGCAGATAAAATTTTTACGGTTGTTTTTGGTTTGTGTGGATTAAATATGATAATAAAGATCTAAGGAAAATTGCAGAAAATTAGAATCCTAAATCATAAAATCCTTCAGAATCCACTTTAAGCAGTTTCACTGTATTTCTGTTCAAAGACTCAATGAAGAACAAGATGAGCCATCCTCTCCAACTCTGGCATCTGTTCCTCTTATACATAACATCCCTGAGTTGAAAGTGAGCCCAGAGGTATGTATGCAGACTTAACATCATTTAACTGTTTTCTACAAAACGGTGGGTCTAAGGTGCAGGTGACTTTTCCATACATCAGAGTACAGGTTACCATAATACAGATAATTGAATAGCATTAAAAGTGTCTCCTAGCCCTAATCTCTTAACATAATGCTCTACTAGATCGAGAGGAATCTGTGTGGTTTGGTAATTTATCGATGGAACAGTGACCTGTACTTTAGACACGACATCTAAAAGAGTACCCCAACCAAAACTTAGGACACATCTCAAACAAAAAAATACAGCACCGCCACCTAAAAAAATGTTGACCTCCAACTCAAAAGTTGGAACTATATCACCAAAATATCCTGATGACAAGCCGTGAGCACATATAATTTAGTACTGTATTTATGTACTTCATTTACATACTTAATTTCTCTCCAATGAAAACTTCCAGGTTCTAACTTTAACTGCACATTACTGAAACATTTCCAAACAAGACATTATTATATAGATACATGCAGATGGTCCAATTAGCAGGGAAGCTTATAACCAAGGTAAAATTTCTGTTCACTTATGGAAGGCTTATAAGCAGGGGGACTTATAACTGTTACGGATTACAACCAGGAATTTATGGTATTTCACTTTATTACATTTATTTCACCAACAACATATATATGTTACAGCACAAAGTTAAATTCAGGTTAAATTTTTTAACCTAAGTTGATTTTCAATCCTTTGTCTCCTAGCCCTAATTCATAAATAATTAGGGCTGTGAGAAAAAGGAAGTTGAGAATCAACCTACAATGGTTAAAAAGTTTTAACCTGAATGTTATTTTGACCTGTAACATATACAACAGAAATAAATTGATTTTCTGGCCAGGACCATGTAACAGTTGCACCTAACTTTACAAGGTCCCTTGTTCTTGTGGTACCTACAATGTACATGTACATGTAACACTTGTAGAACAAAACAAATTATTAGTAGTATCATTTCCTCTCATTTTGCTGGCTCAATAAAGTTATTTATAGTTTTGTAAGCAAGCATTTCACTAATCCATTGTTAGGAAGCTGAGGCCTTAGGAAAAAAGGACGAAGCCAGACTTCTTCGAACTCGCAAGCTTTCACTAATTGTGGATCTGGATCAGACTCTTATTCATACAACAATGGAGCTGATTCCTGAAGATATGGAGGTATGACACCCTATGAATCATGAATTAACTTGTTATTTTTAGAAGTGCTTGTGTGGGTACGAAAAGTACACTCAACTAGAGTGCAAAAACAGGGAAAAGTGGTTACACCTTTTACTATATCTTTAAATCAGATGGCATATAAATTATGTCCAAAGACCACACAATGTGTCACAGGGCACCCAAAGCATTAAGGTGTTCACAGGCTGCCCAAATAGGCAAATTTTATATATAATTCACCTCTGTTATTACCAGTAGATGTAGCAATGCCCTCTTAATGCTGTAGCCTACTTGTTTTCCATGATCAATAATAATATTATTGATCATGGAAAACAAATAAGCTACAGCATTAAGAGGGCACTGCTACATCTACTGGTAACGACCAAGGTGAATTATATATAAAATTTATATATCAACTTATTCTATTGCTATTTGAAACATAATTATGCTTTATAGAAATAATAGCTTTGACTTTCTGTGATTACATATCTGTTTTTATTTATTTGCAAAATCTTGGTGCCTTCTATCTGTCAGTGTGTGTGCATGATAGGCATATTAAACTTTTAACTTTAAAACTTTATTTTAATTATTTTTTGGTGATAAAGCCATCCACTATTTTGGCCGGCTTTTTTTTACCAGTGCACTTGTTTAAAAAAAAGATTGTAGCAAAAACATTTTATAAGGCTAACTTGTTGTCCTTGTTGCTTTGCTGTTGTTCTTGCTTCATAAATGTAAAGGCTTTTCGCATTTTATGAAAGTCAAAGTTTTGTCGAAATATGCATTGAAAAGGCTTGAAGGAAAACCAGACATTTCAAGGGTGTTCCCTCTTCTTCAGTGATTTCAAAAGCAGCTAAAATGCACGCACCACTTGACATTCAAATGGAAAACAACAATAAAGACATTTACATTTTGCAGAGTAACTACATGTATGATGTAATGCATATGCAATGTAGGATCTTGTTCACCATCAAAATAATAGTGTTTTTCGCCATTAAATATTCACAGGATGTTCATCATTTTCAACTGCCTGGTTACCCTGTGTGGTACCATACAAAGATCCGACCTGGAGCTGTGAATTTCTTGAAGAGTATTTCAGAACTGTATGAACTGCACATCTTCACCATGGGATCAAGAATGTATGCTCATACCATTGCTCGAATGTTAGACCCTGATGGAAAATTGTTTGCTTATAGGATTCGCTCACGAGATGAATGCTTCAATGCATTTTCCAAATCCCATGATATGAGGTCAGTACACAATAATGCACATACTATGTAGTTCTGTGTTCTGTAGTCTCCTTATTGTTGTTTTCAGTTGTTTATTCACCTCTTACGAAACAAGGGGACTGGAGCAGAAGTGTGTCCTGCAATAATTGTTTCTTGGATCATTACTTGGGATGCACTGGTCAGCTACTGGCCAATTCTTTTTCCCTGTCTCCAGTAACAGTCCAAGAAGTCTTTGCAAAAGTTAACCCATTCACCCCTGGAAATTTTGCTGAAAAATGCGTTTTGAAGTTAGTCTAGCGGTTTTCTGGTTACTGCCGTGCTATATAGAGCTAAAACTTACCATAAAGCCATTCTGATCCAGGTGCAAAATATTAGCTTGCAATGTTCAGGCATGCACGGAAAGCAAAATTTCGAGATAGTGGTTTTGGGTGTAAAAGTGACACTGCAGTCTTTAGGAAGTTTTTAGGAAGGCTTTTAGGATCTTAGGATTAGATGAAAGGAAAGGTTCGTGGGTAGTGAAACAAGATTTTCATGGAATTTTCATTTCAATGTTACATGGTTTTTTGCCTTTTTCTCTGGTGTCCTTGAATGAATTGTGCTCATTCTGGTTTTGTTTGAAAGATTTCTTCACTCTGCACAAGTTAGCGGACAAAGTTGTCCCTGACCATTAAAACTTATCATGTCACACGTGGTATCTACACGGGTAATTATGGACGGCTCAGGGGTGAACCGGTTAAATTGGACCACTTTTGTTCTTGTGTCTAAAGTGGTGAAATAACTTTGAGATATAAATACATCTTTTAAAGTGAGGCAGATAGGTCTCTCAGTATCGCATACTGCTTCTCCTTGGAGGCATTAGGCTTTAAAACCTTCCTTGTCCTCCTGCATTGTCTTCCTGCTTCTTTGACAAAACTAGTCACCTTAGACAGTTTCTCAGTCTGATCAGTGGCTGTCACTGATTTATTTGTTCAGTTATTGTGGTGGTGAGTCAATTACTCAGTTGCTCAGTCACCTAGTCCATTAGTCACTCAGTCAGTCTGTCAGTGTATTAGTCACGCAGTCAGTCTGGTAGTCAATTAGACACACAGTCTGTCAGTCAATTAATCAGTCATTCACTCAGTCAGTTAGTCATTTAGTCACTTAGTCAAGTCAGTCTGTCAGTCAACTAGTCAGTAAGTCACTCGGTCAGTCTGTCAGTCAATTAGTCAATCATTCACTCAGTCTGTTAGTCATTTTGGCACTTAGTCGAGTCAGGCTGTCAGTCAGCTAGACAATAAGTCACTCGGACAGCCTGTCATGGTCAGTCAATTAGTCAGTCTGTCTCTTCGTTAGTCAATCATTCAGTCATCCGGTCAATGAGTCACCCAGTCGGTTAGTCACGGACAATTTTAAGTCACTTGAATAAATTCTAATAACTGAGGGTCTGATAATATAATTAATTCTTTTACAGGTCACTGTTTCCATGTGGTGACAACATGGTTTGCATAATCGATGATCGAGAAGACGTCTGGAATTTCGCCCCTAACCTCATCCATGTGAAACCGTATCAGTTTTTCAAGGGGGTGGGAGACATAAATGCCCCACCTGGATCCACCCCTTCCCCCGAAGAAGAATTTACGTCCCCTGCAGAAGAAGTTGGTGAAAAGAACAATCAGGAGAAAGATATCGAAGCTGAAGAAGTAAATTCTCTGGAGACTGAAGATGTTGCACATCAAGAGAAGAATGATGACACAGTATTCAAAGACAACAAAAAATCCGAAGAGACAGAAATTGACGTAGTCTTGAACGAGAAGATGAGCTTGGGAAAGTCGGAAGAAAATGTGGAAGTTACTGAGGACAAAATACATCCCGTTGGTGAAGGTGTCGATGAAATTAACGCAAAGAAATCTTCTGTTGACGATGTTAAATCAAACGTGGATTCCTCGAAAGTGCTTGAGAATGGACAAAGTGAAAATGCTGATGACGAAACGAAACCTGAAGAATCTAACGAGACCAAAGAAATAAATCAAAATGATAAGGAGGAGAACGAAGAGGGTGAAAAGAACAATAACGGTGATACAAAAGGTGATAACGAACAAACCACTTCGATTTGCAATGATGAAATAACAGGCGAAACACCTGAGAAGAGTTGCGAGGGAGGTGAGTGTTGCTTTCGGAAGATGATTTTTCGAACAGCACATGAGCATGATGGCGTTAATTTGCTTAAGAATTCTTCAGTTTTGTTGTTTTCTTATGTGTAAGTGTAGTGTAGTGTGATGTGGAGTAGTGATGTTACGTTTCGTGTCATTTTGTGTATTAAAATGTAGTGTATTGTAGTGTGATGAAGTGTAGTGTAGTGTAGTGTTGTGTAGTGTTGTGTAGTGTAGTGTTGTGTAGTGTAGTGTAGGGTAGTGTGGTGTAGGGTAGGGTAGTGCAGTGTAGTGTAGGGTAGGGTAGTGTAGTGTAGTGTAGGGTAGGGTAGTGTAGTGTAGTGTACTAGGGTAGGGTAGGGTAGGGTAGGAGGGAACTAGACTGATGTCGCGTTTTTGTTTCTCGTTAATTTTTTATTTATTTTTTCTTTAGTGCAAACAAAGTTCAAGAAATCACAAAAGTACTCGTACGAGTTCGGTGATGGTGATGACGATTACCTTCTTCACCTCGAGGACGTTTTGAAACGAGTACACGAAGTGTTTTATAAGACTTTAGACGAGATAAAGTCTATTTCTGCCGAAGAACTCAAAGGTAATCCAAACTCTACAAGCGGTGTTAAGTACTGCACCCCTGGAACAACTACCCCGGATGCAAAAGCCATTGTGACTGAACTACGCCGTGATGTGTTACTCGGGGCGAACATTGTATTTACTGGAGTTATTCCTACGTCTACTAAGCAAGAAGAGAGTTATCCTTGGCGTGTTGCGTGTGCGCTCGGCGCCAAAGTAAGCAACACGATTGTAACACCCAAGGACACGACAAACCCTAGTGACGTAACCACTCACGTGATTGCGGGGAGATTAGGCACGGAGAAATCATACCGGGCGGTTAAAACCCGGGGAGTTAAACTTGTGAATCCCGGCTGGCTTTTGTGCTGTTCCGAGCGCTGGGAAAGGGTGGACGAGCGTTTGTTTCCTGTAGAGGGCTTAGAGAAATACAAACAACAGATTCGGGATCAAGGTACCCCTCGCGGGACTCCCCGGGATACTGTAATGGAAAATGATGACTTAGGTACGGGTGATACTGGTGAGGACGCGGAAAACAAAACTAGATCTGAATCTGTTAGCAGCGTCGACATTCTTATGTCAACTTTAAACCCTTTACTGTCCTTTTCGCCGTCGGAAGTAGAGGCAATGGACAAGGAAGTGGAGGACCTTATGAACGCTAGCGATGAAGAAAGCGACTTGATCGGAAGCGTGTCGGATTCGAGTAGTTCTTCGGATTCCGAAGACTCTAAGTCGACGAGTAAAAGAAAGCGCGGTGAGGAGGAAGAATCGCAGGAGGACGCCAATAATGAATCTCCAAGTAAAAAAAGAAAAGTTAGCGACGATGTTGACGATGATGAAGTAAAAGATATTGATAACGACAACGACCACGAAGGAGAAGGGGGATCAGAAGATTCAAGCAAGTCTGATTCAGATGACGATTATACACATCGCTCCTCACCGAGCGATGATGATGACGATATGGCGGCCATGTTAGATGCGGAGTTAGCACAATCATAATGGGGCATTTCATTGTGGTTTCCCTTCTCTGCGTTTTGTCATGTTGATATTCATAAGGAATCAGTCATACACTCATCCCAGCGTGCACCAAGCTTTCTAGAATGGCTGCGGTCCTTCCCCTAAATATTCGTCTAGTAATTTATTTCCACAAGTATTTTTGTAGAAGATGGATACTAAAGCGAGAACTGTCCTTTTTTCGTAAACGCGTTCTCTCGGCTCGCCGAATCCTTTTCGCCAAAGATTCTCGTTTATTTCCGTTTTTTGTTTGTTTGTTTTCAATCCTGGCCTGTTGACAGTCTCTCTATCTTGTCATTCCAAACTTCCAACCTTGTCCCCACGTCCTTGTTGGAACCCAATGCAGGCAGGTTAAAAGCTTCCTGATCTTGGTCAAATATACATTTTAAACCCGCAAACCCGAGTAGAAAATCAAAGGAAACTGTTGGTTTACATGTATTTAGACTTTTTAGAAATTGTGTAACTTCGTTAGTTTGCGAAAACTTGCGTTCTGATGATACTACGCCTTATAATAGTCAGAAGTCGCGTTAAAAAACAGCACAAAAGGCGTGGCAACTTGCAATCAGAGTTGCAAACCTGTAAGGATGGGTCTGCTTCGAAAGAGGGTGACATGTGCGTTACGCTCACTCTACTTAGCCCGTGCGTGACAAGGCGTCACGTGGTATATACAATGTTGCAAAGTGAATACTACCCTTTTTGCCAAGGAAATGTCGAAAGTTTTTTCCTCTTGTGTGTGAAACATACATTTGCAGCTGGTCTGTTGTATTAACGTCCAGTATCCATTAAAGTTGAAAATTTGCAATTCATTCTCGTACTCGAATAAGCGCCTTTGCTTTGTATCCTGCGACAGAGAAGGCAAATAGTTTGCGTTTGACCTTTCGAACAATATGTTTACATTTTCGTCCGGTAAGTTGTCCAAGTGAAATCGTGTTATCGCTCCACAGTCTTCCGTTACTGTGTGGTTGGATGCGAACCAGAGCCAGCCTGCGAAAACAGCCGTTTCTCCTCGTTTTAGTGGCGACGAGCGAGAACAGACGGCTGTTTTCGCAGGCTATATTCTCCTCTTCCTCTAGCCTTAGATTCTATGGGTGACCACATTACGGAAACAGGCTCTGTCTTTACAGACAGACGTTATGTGTGCGTGATTCTGTTTAACGTTGTAGCCTTATGACCTGGTTGTGTTGTTAAATACAGTAGAAGAAAACCCACAAGTCATATTTCAGGGTTTATCATGATAAGCTTTGCAATCTACATTTTGATCGGAGAAGAACTCTTGTTCAAGAGTAAAACTGAAATTAATTGTGAACGCCGGAAAACTATTTTCAGCTGATTACAGATCATGAAGGAATTTTATGCGACAGGACCACAAAAGGAAAGATAAACATTCACCGTGAAAGCTAATTATGATCAGCAGTTAATATAAACAAACCGCAAACATTCAGGTCGTGTCACGAGTATTCGTAGACATACCAACCAACATTTCTATCTCTTTCCCTGGAAAGCAGAGGGCTGAAAACGGCGTTCCGTCCACTTTTGTACAACTCAGAAAAGTGCTGGCAGTTGTAAATTAAAGTTAAATTTCGCGGGCCTTGTTAGGAAATCAGGCTTAGATTCATATACAGAATCGAAAGTTCGGCACTGTCAGATCGTAGAGTTTCCGTGACTTATTTTCTTTCTTTCACTTGTGTTTGGTAGTAAGATAAATCACCTTTATGCGGACCAGACGACGTTGGGGGAGTTATAACCCCCAAATGAGAGCATGTAACAGATATGGTTAGATATCATTCTAAAAGCGACAGTCAAACGTCGTGCTGCTGTCGTGCCGAACTCAATTGGTCGAATTAAATTGGACTTTACCACGGCAGTAGCGCGACGTTTGAAACCAAGTCGTGCTACTGCCGTGTAGCACGGCAAGCCTTGCCGTGCTACAAGGCAGTAGCTCTACTTGGTTTGAAACGTCGTGCTACCGGCGTGCCAAACTCAATTTATAAATTACAAATGCATTAGAATACATTTGAAAGTTTGCAGAACCGTTTCTTTATTATTGTGTTTTGTTTTCGGCAACAGCTGTTCTATTCGACTGAATTAAATTCGACGTCTGAAACCAAGTCGTGCTAGTGTCGAGCTACAGTCCAGCCAGCTTAGCACGGCAGTAGCACGACGTTTGAAACAGGCCTAATAAGACAAATAAGAGCTATATAACAATTTTGATGGCGTTAAAAAACATTGTAATTGCTTTCTTCTTCTTCTTCTTCTTCTTCTTCTTCTTCTTAACGAGACGAAAAGCTTTCACGCCATTTTCATATGTGCGGCCCCCGTACCAGACTCATCTCTAATTGTAACACCGGGGGACATGCTGAAACTTTCCACTAGTTAACAGAGAAAAACCCACAGTTGAAATGCGAAAAAATGCAAGCACCTTTATAAACCTAATCAATGCGGCGGACGGTTGTCACAGAACTTTTGTCAGGCATCGCTCTAATGATGTTCCACAAAAATGCAAGCTCACTTAAATAAACTCTCAAAGGAAACCAATCCTTTCTGTAATAAAAATATTTATAAAGCCGAGGTCTTCATGGATGACATCAGCCGTTATCGGGGAACAAGTCAAAAAACGTTTTTTTTTTTTTAATTTATGACTTCCATTTCTTGGAAAGCCCATTAACGGAAGTGATGAAAAGTTTTACAAAGGAGGCAGTTTAGGCTATTTTCGGAATTTTTAATTCAACATTAGTCGAAATTCAAGGTGCTCTATTAGTCGAACAATCTTTAGCATGCATTAAAAGTGAAACAAATAAATTCGATCATTGTGTAGATTGAGTTTAAACGTTCCGGGGACACAAATCTTTCACTCGTTAAAGAACCAGAATCAGTCAAGAACTGAATCCCAAATTAAATTTTGTACCCAGTACTTATAAGAACAGATATTGTATATAGTACCATGTTAGAACTGATCAAAAACAAATGTTTCTCATGCTTGCCTCAAAAAAAAAAAATGGGGCAGATGCCGGCTTTCCTCGTTCCACGTCTGTTTGTTTGGTTTCAAGAAAACCCCCTTTCTCATACCCTCTTCCAGTTCTTCCTCTTTCCTTAGAAGACCTCATCGGCGGAACTAGAAACTGACGGGTTACGATTAAAATTGATGATCAATAGAACAATTAGTAATAATCATGCAAGAGAAAATGAGCTGCAATCATCGTCAAAAGTATTGAGAAGGTTGCTTTTTTTACCTCTTTTTTTTTTTCCCCCCACTCCCCCCTAGTGATCCGAAAATTATAAGGAGCAAACTAACCTTTTCGAAAATTTCAGCCAGAAAAAAGAATCCCGAAAATTCTAAGCGACCTTTTGTAGGGTAAAAATCCGTTAAAATTGGGCAATTATACCATTTTTTAGATGCTCCAGAATCCTAGGAGAGGCAGGCAAGCAAGAAATTTTACAACAAATGTTCCGAAAGTTCTAGATCTCAAATCGTCTTCCGAACGGATATTTTCCGAAAATTGACGTTGGGTGCCCCTGAATTTAGATAATAAACGCGATTTTTAGAAAAACTCTGCTGAGTCGCTTCGATACTAAATCGTTAAAAAAGAAATTTGCTAGGCCAGATTCACTTTCAAACAGTTATTGATAGGCTCCTGCTTGATAGGATTGTGGACGAATGTAACAGTTTGCCTCTTGAGGTCCGTTCGGCATGCAGTGTTGATATTTTTAAATCAAACGTTATGAAAAATATTTCAAAATTGTGAATTTGACTTCTGTTTTTCGCTATTTATTTTCAGCTGTTAGTGTGTGGGATCTTATTATAATTTTAGTTTTATTTAAATATCATTATTATAATTTTACTATATGCTGTAAGATGATTTGTTTTTACATGGGATCGGGCTACTCGTTTATAAATTATCCTTATGGCTTTTTTTATTTTTCGTTCTTATCGTTGTAGTGTTTGCCATTAAATTGTAATAAATAATAAATAAATAAGTATTTTTCGTTTATTCCGCATTCTGGATATCTGACGTAGTGGCCATTCAGTTGTCAAGTAACAAGAGTCGGAATTTTTATTTTTTGTCAAAAAACATTTCGATAGTTATCTTTGACTTGCAACAGACTCATAGAGTTTAAGAGTTGTACTACAACACGAGTTATTAGACAGCTCCGACCCTCTATTTCTGGCGGCATTTTCGAAATGTGACTCGGGGGACTCTGAGGGCTTCACCCCTTGTCATGTTTCTGCAGATACAAATCTCGAGCAGGTCTCGTATTGTTTTAAAAATAGAATTTTTAGGCGATTAAACAAAAAGAAACGCAATGCTGATTTGACGGCAAAGGAAAATAACTAGATAAATAAATAAATAACAAGGGGAACTATCGTTCTTCTTTAGGGTCTCTGAGGGGAACTTGGTTCTTCACCCAGAGTTTTGTGGGGTACTTTTCAGTAATAAAAGTCGTGGAAACATGCTATCTAACGCTGGAGAATATTGTAACTGAATTCTTCACTCATGCATTCAATCACGCTTTGGAGGTTTGAATAAATACATTTTTCGAGTACGTCAAGGGCCTTTCATTGAAACGACTGATTGAAGCGTAAAAATTATGGCTTTTTATGGAAGTTCGCTGGCAGTCTTTTGAGAGCTCGCGGACGCCAACTTGACCCTGCATACTGATTGGTCAAGAGTAAATGACATGCGCATAATTATGCAACCTTTCTTGCACTGGTGGGAGGAAGGAAACTGAGAAGACGGCTTGGTCTTATAACTGACTGTGTTACTATTGAAAGGAGTCGGGAAAAGGAACCGCTGTTAGTAAATTGAAGAATCGATGTTGCCACTAATGATGGATCCTAGAATTGGCTGGATTCAACCGGAACAAAAGGGTCCAGCATATACAACATGGAGCGACATAATGATTCAGGATGTCACTTCACCATCAACGAATTTGGAAAATCTTCGTGCTGGAAGGCCGGACTATATCCCTCTGAATCATAAAAATACTTTTAGTGACGCAAAGGAGACTACCGCGTTAAACAACTTGATAAACGCAGACAAAAGTCATGTTAGTAAGAAGAAAAAAGTTGAAAATCGAACCCCGTGGTGGTCCAAGGAAAAAAGCTATCCAGACGGCCCAGTTGGGTAAGTCGCCATTCAGGTCATTTCAGCGAGAATTCTTACAACGAAGAAGTGACAACCCTCACAATTGAAAGCTAATAAGTTATTCTTTCGTTTTATTAAGGCTTCATGAGGAAATTCTGGACTTTCATAATTTTATGAAACCTCGTCCTGCTGAACATAGGATGCGACAAGAAGTAATATCGAGAGTTCAAGAAGTCATCAAACAACTCTGGCCTACAGCTGAAGTACGTAGGGAAAATTCACATAATTTGCTCAGTTTTTTTGTCATAAATTCAAAGTAAGTTTGCTAAATGGTGTAACAAGTATGGGAAATGACGAGGTTTTGTTTTTATCAAATTTTTTCAGGTGGAGGTCTACGGAAGCTTCCGAACGGGCCTCTATTTACCAACCAGGTGAGAGCAAGTAGCAACTTTTTGTGAGTCGAAATAAAAGGTGTTTATGATCTGTAACGTTTTGTGCCCTATTTTAGATTTTCCTCGCATGGGTCCTGCTATCGCCAGTGTGAATTGGATCTAATAAAGATTATCGAGTAGTGAATGGATATCACTCTACAACCGTTTAAATGAAAAGCAAAACATGTACTGTATCTTTTCAATAAACCGTTTGTGGTGAGCAGAAACAAGGTTTTCGTGTAAACATTATGCAACTTGAAACCCCCGGAGGATATCTCTATTTTGAACATAAGCAGTTTCAAATAGTTCTGATGTCACAGTACCCAATTGTAAGTAGTTGTTATTCATTTAAAATCCGTTGCTTCTTATTAGTGACATCGATATTGTCGTCTTTGGCAAATGGGAGAGATTGCCTCTATGGACGCTTGAACAGGCGCTGACTGCGAACAAAATTGCGGAGGTTTCGTCGATCAAGGTCTTGGATAAAGCATCGGTGAGACTAGTTTTTTCTTTTATAGTATATTTGTATTATGAACACAAATATCGCGACAACTCGTGATGATAAGCTTATATACAAGCTTAATACTCACTAATAAAATACAGAATAAATGAGGTTAAATTACCCCCGACTCTCTGAAAGCCTGTTATGTATTAAAGATGCACGAAAGCTTCTTTTCTGCTAATGTTTTCGAAGGAGAGCTGTTTTTGTCACTCAGGAAAGGTGTCACAAGCTTTTTCCTTCGCGAATAACAAATCTGTAGGAAGTGACAACGCTATATAAATCACAAAATAGTTAACATCGCACGGGAAAATACTTGTTGAATATTCACGTATTTTGTATGATCCTACTTATTTCGGTATGCAAATTCAATGCGGGTTCGTCCCTTAGTGAAATTTGAATATTTATGACCTTTGTTTTCAGACTCTTATTTTTTTTGCCTGGGGCGTTATGTATAATACTTTGTCTGTCGTCTACATGTAGTGCCTCAAAAATTTCAACTACACGATTTCAGCACAAGATTTTTGTGTGGGTGTGCCATGTTGAAGGACTTAATGTACTCTCACAATGATAAAAGAACATCATTTCTGTTATTTTTTGTCATAATGTTAAATTATTCCATATTTTGCCACTCATGAAGGATATACAGCTGTAGTTCGGGTTGTTTGGGGGCTTTTGAAAGTACCTAAATGGTTCGTGGTTTTTGTTCATGTCAGTTATGTAGTGTCATAATTTGCATTAATTGTATCAAGTGGAACTGTGAATATTTCAGAAAATTTTAAGTAAAATAATATTTACACAACTTTTGGCATCAGTTGAAACTTGTTAAATTTTTAGATTCTTCAGCCCAAATAAAGGATTTATACATGCAGTTTGATAAATGTAGTGGATATGTCTTAGGTAAAATCCCTTTTCAGGTTAAAGTAGTATTCAGCCTAGTTTGATAGAGAATTTCCATTTTCTCGGTCCTAATTATTTATAGCAGAAATAGGAAATTCTGTTTTCAATTTTATCCGCAACAGGTATTGATATGACATTCAGTCCAGTGTTATTACGAGGATAGGTGTTCCATAATCTGTGCACAAAGACCTTTTGAAGTATAATTTCTAAATATTATATAGAACCAGAATGGCTTAACCAAAAACTATAACTTTTTTAAATAAAAAAATATGTATGTGTAAAATGATGAAGACCAAAATTATTCCCTAATTTCACGAGTATACCATTAATATCATTGGTAGTGCTTCTGATTGGCTGCAGCCAATTTTCAATTTTCAGCATGGAATTTCTGCACTTGTTCCTTAGGCATAATTTTTCAGGGAAACTATTGGTGGCATTGCAAATTTGTCAATTATGCTGAGCAGCCTGGAAATCACAGTGTTCGAGCACTGGGCTCCCTGTAATTTTTCTCGGAGCACAACTTTGCATTTTTTCCTACCAGTCATGTGCAAAGTAACTGACTGCTAGCAGAGCATTACATCTCACCTATTTTTATAGTTTCCTGCTTACCTGTGTTTTGTTTTTGATATAAAGAAGCATTTCCTTTACAGGAAAAAATCTGAGAATGTAAAAGTGATGTGCTGTCTATGAACAAAAATTTCTTGCAAGAATTTGAAAAGGTTTTACACTGAATACAACTGAACAGTCACCCACTTTGCACTTATTCAGCCATGGTTATAAGGCAAGGGGTGATATACAGTTGGTGTTGTGGTGTTTGTCCTAGAGGGGGTTAACTGTTTTGATTTGACAACTGGCTTGCTTCAAATGGTGCATTTGCTGCAAAAAGTCTTCACCTGTACATAAGAGTTGGTGGGCTTGTTGCTAAACCATTTTTGGCCACTCAGTATACATCACCCTGGACAATTACAAAATATTTTTTCAATATAATATAGTTAATATAGTAAATATATAATTGAAGATGATTTTTTAAGTGAAAAGTTCAAGTGGTCGTTGTCAGGGTGGGTAATTCCAGAGCTATCTTGTTTCTATCGAGAGAACTGCAAAATTTCTATTGTACATGTAGTTCTAAACTTTGAGTGTGTTGGCTAAGCCTTGTGATGCTGATCATTTGAGACTTTTCTTGTGATAATCATGATATTTACTGAGTTTAGGGTTTAACACTGAAAGTGGCAGAATTATAATTTTGTCTATCATGTGATTGACAAAGATGCCTTTCATGTGATAGTCCAAAATACTGCACTATTCCAGGGGGCTTGTTGGAGCTAACACATAGCCCTGGTGATGTCTATCAAAATGATGTAACATAATGCGTGCAAAAAAGTTAAACCCTGTGTCAATATTTTGCATTTTTAAGGTCTGTTACGGTTTCTTTATATGGTTGCAGTAAATATACAAAGCCAAAACATCTGATATCTTTAATAACAATCGCGGCTGTTTTTAACATTTTCTTTATTCAGGTTCCTATAATCAAAATGACAGACCAGAAAACCAGTGTGAAAGTGGACATAAGCTTCAATGTCCCAGCTGGGTTAAAAGCAGCCGACTTCATAAAGGTAAACCTTTTTGAATGGCTTTCCATCATCTTTGTCTGAGGATGCAATGATATTATTTGCCCAGTAGTGTATGGCTGATGACAAACTTTTAAACAAAAAGCTTGCCATATTTACTGTTTAACAGAAAAACTTTTTCTTCTAAAATTTATTTTTAATTTATTATTATGTGATGTGAATTTTAATCTTTTATTCCCTGTTCTGGTTCTATATATCCATGTTTTTGTCCAAGGGTTTTGAATATAAAAAATTCTTTGGGAAAAAAAATTCATAACTGTAGTAATATATTCTTTGATAAATCTTACCTTTTGTTTCATTACCTGGATTCTTGGCTAGTCCGTGATTTGCTTTAACAGAAAAAGTTTAAAAGTTGTTTATTTTCTGTTAGGCTAGGTTGTTGAAATGGTTCCTTATTAGTAGTAGAGTCACAACATACATGTGGCTTTACAAAATATGGTTGTACGAACTAATTAAAAATTAAAAATCAATCACAATCAGACAATTGAAAGATACATCTATTAATAAAAGATCTTTTAAAACGCTCCATTTTGACTGCAGCTAAAATAAAATTATGCCCTTGATCTCGCAAGCATCTCTTTCTTTAAGGGGGCAACAGCTCAAAACGTGGGATGTGAGGGATTCTCTGTAATAGTTTTCCATAACTTGCAGTCCCGTTTTTTAAAAGTTATTTGTATATCCAAACCTAAAGGCACGTTTAAAAAATATGTCAAAAAAACAGGGGCACAATAACAGATTAAATAATTTTGTCAGTTGATCTTTAGGGTATGTAAAATATTTAAAGACATGTAAAATGTGTTTAAAACAGCTTCTAGCTTATTCAACAACATGTAGTTGTGAAAGACTCATGAAGGAAATGGTTACCCTGGTAATGGGTTTTTCGGTGTCATTTGAAACTAAAGGCTTTATCCTGAATATCACTGAACATGATTTTTTTGTTCATGTCACCTAGAAGAGGGTTTGCAAGGCAAACCCCACTTCTGGAAATAAATTGTTTTTTGTCAAAGTTCCTGAATTCCCGAGACTGCAAAAGCAGTTTTATAGGCACGTTGGTATGAGGTGTTAACACACATCTTAATTATTGCTCATTCTGTTAATCTTGAGTAACTGGGGTAATGTGCGTCCTTGACTAAATGCAATAAGAATGTAACAATAGCTCACATTGAATGGTACTGAACAACACAACGAAAACATCCAGACTTTATATCCTGTCTCACAGGACTCGAAATTGCGACTGATACGGTCTCCAATGCGACTAACATTTTCTCCTAAAAATTCTGGTTTAGTCGCCACTTCGGTAACCAGATTTCTTTATGATTTAGATTTAAATTAAAAGAGTTAAGTTAAAACAAACATTTTATCTTATCTTGCTTTGCTTTCATCACAAAAAATGTGCCAAGTCGCATAAACAAAGCCAGTTTACCTCCAAATTTATGTCGACTTCTGTGATATTTTCAAACAATCAAATATGATGGATCGTGCCATACTATGAGCTGCATCATTTACATTATATAAACTGGCGACTGAAAATTTGCATCTGGCAACTATATCTCTCCAGTTTGTGGCCAAAAGGCGACCTGAGAAACTTTTTTAATTTTGAGCCCAATCTCAGCAAAAACCCCAAGTGGTTGACTGGTTCTGTTTTTCAATTACACAGGATCAGATAGAAATTTTCCCTTGCCTTGAACCCTTGGTGCTTGTCCTAAAGCAATTCTTACTTCAGCGTGACCTTAATGAAGTATTTACTGGTGGGATCAGCTCATACTGCCTTATCTTGATGACTATCAGCTTCCTGCAGGTGCGTGATTTGTGATTCCCAAATGTGTTCAATACAGGGTTAAATGAAAGTCAGGTTTACAGCCTGCTCGATGGGCAAGCTTTAGCTCCAATCTTGGACAAAACTGTTGAGAAAATTGTATACTTGGGAAGCATTTTTCTAGACGTTGTAGCTGTACTGGTTCTTCCCTCTCCCCCTTCCCCTGAAAGTAGTGTTGTGTATTCAAAAGAAAGCCTGATCCCTGGGCGTTTGTAGGAAGCAACATTGAATTGGGGAAGGGTTTTTTTTCAAAGGCGCGTTTTGGAAATAGTTTTGTTGCGTGAGGAAAGTGGACATGATGGGGAAAACTTTCTCGAGTAGTTTTGTCAGGGATTGTAGCAGGTACTAGCCCTGTGGTAACTAACCTGAATTTTTTGAGGTACATGTTAATGATTAATTTATTTTTGTTAATTAATCAGTTACTTGCTTTATTTAATGACTGTAATGAAAGAGATAATTTCACTTTGCCAGATCAGCTCAAAAAACAGCTTTCAATTCACATGAAGTTTTCAGGAATTTAAACAATATTTGTCTCACACTACTTCTGTAATTTGTATTCCCCCAAAAAACTTCACTGGCCCATCAGGTAAGTTAAGAACAGAATTCAGTAGCCCGAGTGCAAATTCCTTTAGCCACTGGCTATCAGACATGACTTTCTTTGCACGCTGCTCAGTAGGTTTACTTTTACAGTGGAACCCTGCCTATGCCCTGACTTTTGTTTATGCATTTTCATGTTGATATGGGAGAAAGGAAGGAAGCAAGGATTTAAATGTTAAAATATTCTTGCTGTTGACATTTACTAAATGATAATTTTCCAAAATAAATATTTTCCTCTAACTTTTTTTCACGTTTTTCACACAGCACCGTAGAACACCTCCTTCAAAAAATCTTGGAGTGCTTTTGATTGAATTCTTTGAACTATATGGTAAACATTTTAACTATACAAATGTTGGAATCAGAGTCAAAGATGGTGGCACGTACTTTTGCAAGCATGAGGTGAGTAAGCAAAATAAAATATTTTATGGCTATAAAATACTATTTTCTTTAATACTACTGTTAAATACCACACTGTACCCATCCCTATCAAAACATGTAGGTGGGCAAGGTCTGCATTCAATATTATTTAGTTTGTGTCCTTTGTTCGACAGGAACTCACACCTTTTTAAATAGTGTTGATGATGATGGTGATGATGAAATTCCTTTAATAATACTCTGTAGGGTTTGTGAGGGGAGTAACAGCCATTTCTTTTATTCAACCCTTCAGACACTGCAACAAACCCACTTTTTCTGTAACAATTAATTTTATTTCTCGGTTCTTTGTCATTTAGGTTATGCTTGGTATGAATGATGTGTATAATCAACCCGCTCTCCTGTGCATTGAAGATCCTTTTACGCCAGGTAAACAGAACATACCATATTTCCTCGAATAATATCTGTAATATCTGAGATGGCTACTGTCAGTCTGACTACTTTCCTACTGTCTGATAGCAAATTTTATTTCTCTTGGCTCCTTTCGGGGAATAGAAACACTGTATACATCTACATTGTTTAAAAACATTTTTTCTTCGAATTAATGGGCATATTGTTAAATTATGATCGACTTCTAACCCTGTTACACACTCCTAGAGTTGTGACATGTGGCTCTATCTTATTAAATACCAAACATACCAAAGAGTGGAAATAAAATAATTCTCAGTACACTTTTACTTCAATTCAATATTTTAAAGATGTTTTCAATAGTGAAAGCACAACCCAGGTAAAAATGTGAGGCGGGATCCCGCCAATCCCACCTGGGATCCCAGGTTAATCCCAGGTGGGATCCCGCCAGAAATAGGCGGGATCCCTCCTGGGATCCCGCCTGGGATTATGGAACGTCCCGGGAGGCATCCCATCTGGGATTCCAACTAGGATCCCACCAATCCCACCTGGGATCCCACCTGAAATCCTGGGTGGGGTCCAAGAAACCATCCCACCTGGGATTTGTAAAAATCCCGCCAATCCCACCCAGGATCCCGCCTGAAATCCCGGGTGGGATCAAAGATATCCCACCTGTGATATCAGATGGGATATCCTACCTTTCCTGGCAGCATCGAATGCAGGTTGTTAAATTGATGAGATCCTGCTATCCCACCCTGTCATACACAGGAAATTGATATTTATCGTAGAGGGATTTGAAGACATATAACTTCTGCACCATATTTTTAACTTAATCTGCAAATTTATTAGGAAAATAGAGTTAATATACATGTAAGTCTTGAATAAAATGCAACTTTAATAAGTCTACATATACAATATTCAGTCATTGCAGAACATTCAAATATGTGATTAAATCTTTTGAAAAAAAAACGACAACAACACAAATGCAGTATTTTCATGGAGAAGTTTCATTCAAACCCCAAGTTAAAGTTTGCTTAATTTGCTTATCGTGTAGACTTTTGGCTGATGTCGTGCTCTTCAGTGCCATACACTTTTCTTTTGACTGCAACGAATAAGTATCTGCAAACAGAAAAGTTGAGATTTTAAGGCAAATGAACACAAAAACAACCTGACGTTTTAGAATTGAAACGAACAGTATCGAAGCGTGATCGAAGGTGACCGATCCAACTTGTTCAGGTACGCCGAAAGGGGAGACAACACGGTAAATCGAAACTCAAGTTGAGAAAAACATCACTTACCAACGTTAGGAATACTTTTTGTTGAACCTGGCAGGAAAACGACTTTAAATTGAAGTAAAAAGAAGCGTCTTCTTGTAAAGACGCATGCTTTACAGTTCGCCTTCTTTGACTTGAAAGTGCCCGCATGGAATCAGCCAATTTTCACACCTTTTCATTGGTTGAAAAGGCCCATGTGACGATAAAAAACGCTGAATACGCATGTGTTGAACTCACGGGCTTCCTGGGAACTAGTGGAAACAAAATGGCGGACAAACACCAAGGACTGCAGCTAGCGTTTACGCAGTTTTGACCATGAATTTCTATTCAGGAGTCGCCCATAATCAAGACGAAGGATCGAAGCTAATATAAAAGAAGAAAATGATGCATGGAGGTATCATTTCAAGTAAAGAAACTCTAGGGAAAAGCTAGAAAGGAAAGTTAAGTCAGGAATGATGGATGTAGCGATTCATTAATGCTTTACAAAAATCTTCTCACTAAGAAACTATCTGCAAGCACAAAAAAAATTGTAGTAAATGATTTTTAAGTTTCTTAGTTTTAAACACTGCTTTTTACGTTGGAAGTATGCTTTTTGTGTGTTTGTATAAAATAAATATTGTTTTGTTGAAAGTCATTTTTACATGTATGTACAGGACAATTTATGAACGATGGTGTCATTTTCTGCTTATAAAAAAACATTTGTAATTTAATACAATAAGTTAATTGTCCTTTGAAATTAAATTGGGTACAGGAAGACGATAAATTCCAGCCGTATTTTTAACTCCACATGCAGAAATGTAGAATAATAAGTTAATTAGACTGCTTGCTAAGATATGTTTAACACATAATTATATATAACCTACATGGCTGTTAAAAGTCTTCTTAATTAAGTTTGACTTAACTTTTGCAAGTATGAATAAATCTTCTAAAATCCCAGGTGGGATCGTACATGTGAAATTATCCCAATGTTCCCAGGTGGGATGTATGTAAAGATCCTGGGTGACAATGTGTGATCCCAGGTGGGATATGTGAATCCCACCCAGGATCCCGGGTGGGATGTGTGGATCCCACCCAGGATCCCAGGTGGGATGTGATAATCCCGTGTTTTAGGCGGGATCCCAGGTGGGATTAATTTTTAATCCCAGGTGGGAATGGCGGGATCCCGCCATTAGAGGCGGGATCCCGCTAATCCCACCCGGGATCCCAGGTGGGATTAGCGGGATCCCGCTGGGATCCCGCCTGACTTTTTACCTGGGAAGCCAAGAGAAACTTTTCCCGCCTCTGTTGGCGAAATGTGCTTGCTCTAGACGTAACACATTTAAACAATTAAATTTGCTCTCAGCACAAAACTTTGCGTGTTTGGTGTAATAGAGATTTATCAAATATCAATGGATATCTCTTCTTTGTTTCCTCTGCAGTTACAATTTATAATGTGCCATTTTAGAAGTCATTGTTAAAATAGAAAAATCTCAAAATTTGCATTTGCTTCATAGTAATTTGATACTCTGTCATTTATATACGGAGAACATCGCAAATTGTTTCCATAGCAGTTCACAAAGAAATCATTCTTTTTATTCATAAAGGTACTTGATTCTTTTCGCTAAAATTTTTCTTGTCGTAACTTTGCCACTATGATTAATTTTGTTCATCATGTACTTTTTTTTGTTTCACGTTTTGCCCTTATTAGTATTCATTCGTTTAATAATTTTACGCAAGTGAATTAAAAAGCATCAAGTGTACAGTCGACTTTCCATGCTCAGCTAGCCGCCTAATATTTTACACATCCCCTGTTAGTTTTGTTGGGCTTAACTGCTAGAATTGAAATAAGGTCTCTTTTGTATTTGTTATTTATTTAGGAATGTAAAGCAAGTGGATAAGAACTAAAATTACACATTTCTGGGAATAATCATTTCTTTTTTACATAACATATCCACGTCTGATTTGTCTGAGTAACATAGCCATACTTCATTGAAATATAGCCTTAGAATTATGCATTTTTTAGTAGACTGAGAATTATCCGATCTCCAATGCTTAATGAAACCCCTGCCTCTCTATTGACTCCTCCTTCCTAACCATGCTCAACCATCCCCGCCTCTGTCAAGGACGTTCAATTAGTCTGGCACCTGCCAGTGCTCTGTAGGGGTACCCTGTTGTGAATGATCAATTAATTTAACTGAATGTTGAGTAGAATGTTCTTAATTGCTTAAAAAGGCTCTGCTTCCCCTACCCCCTCCCGCATAACCCAGACGACTCAGTGACTCAGGTCTAGCTAGGATTGCATTGTCTTTTCTTGCATGTAATTAAGCTGGTAGGACAGTTTCAGTGCTTTTTTATCAAGTTTGTTTGAAGTATCAATCTCTGAATGATATCTGACCTGCCAAGCTCATTACAATGAGACTACTGTAACCGGGGCCACTTAGACAAAGTTGTCCAATCGTATTACAGGACAATAACAATACATTCCAAGAAAGTTGGTTGTCGACCAATCAGCAGCTTGTAATAAAAACAGTAAGTGGCTTGAAGCCCGAAAATTAAATTAATTATGGCAAAAGTTTTTCAAGAAAGCAAAATGTTTTACCAGACAATGTTTTCTATTCTAAACATTACATACAACACCGAAGAGACATATCTGTCTGACACAAGCTGTGATTTTGTCATACATCAGCAATTTGTTGGCTTCCATTGCTGCGCTTTGCAATAACATGGTACCTCAAGTCAAAAATGTAACTAACGTTTACGTTTTTTTCCTCTGTCATTCACCTTAACAGACCTCTCAGTAAACGGAGGCAAGTTTTCAAGTTTTTGTCCAGGTGGTCCTGCATGGTTATAGTAGTTACACTGTAATTATTTCTGAGGAGTGTTAAATAAGCCTGTCCTCACGCGCATGTGGCTTTTTAGAAAATTCATGATTCAAAATAGTTATTATTGTGTTGTTGGTGGTTTACAGAGAACTACATAGGCAAGAGTTCCTATAAATTCATGGACGTCAAGCAGGCCTTTGAATATGCCTATGAAACCTTGAGCAAACCACTGTTGAGGGATATTGACAAGACTTCTGACAGGCAAGAAAGTGTTATGATTTTCTTAAAGGCCATTTATTTGGCTGATATTGTAGAATGGAAACATATCTTGCTAGAATAATTTTTTTTATAAGACTTATCTTCTACAGCAGGTAGGAATAAAGTTTGTCTACTTAGTCTTCTACTCCTAAACCAGAAGGCCTGGCCCGAGTTGTTCAGTAGGTGGATAATGCTATCCATTGGATAAATGACTCTCCACTGGATAGCGCAATTGGTTTTGCTAACACTTATCTGTTGGATAGTTCTTTATCCGGTGGATGGCACTATCCATCTTTTGAACAACCGGGGCGTGGTTTAAATGTACGATACTTTCCCCCTGCCCCCCCCAAAATGAGTGTTATTTGCTATCTCCTCAGCACTTAAGAATTATTCTTAAGTGCTGAGGAGATAGCGTATTGTTTTAAGAGTTTTTTGTTTTGTTTGTTTGTTTGTTTGACATTAACTGTTTTTTGACTAGCAGACTCCACGGTGATGAAGGTGGTTATCTTGGGCGGGTTGTTTCAGTGAAGGATGATGTAGTAGAGTATCGAGAATGGGTAGAGAGTGTCTGGGCACAATACAGTACTCCATTGATTACTCAAGTTAGCTGCCCATCAGTTCCAACATATGCAAGCATAGCAAACAGGCATGCCCAGCCTGGGAATGTTATAAAGACTCAAGGTGTGACATTGCAGGACATGTCCAACAGAAGTGCCACTTGGCCTAGCTGTAGGTCACAATCAAACGTGGAAACAGCTGTGTTAGAAACCAGAATGGCCGTGCAGAGGGAGTGGCAACAAAGTGCAGACTGCCTTTATACTCTCGCTGGTGGTATTAAAACAAAACCAAGTACAAACTCAGTGTGGACAGCAACCTCTGTTCGAAAACTGGCAGATTCACTTGCCCAAGACAATGTAGCCAGGCGAAAAGGAGGTAATGAAATGAGGACTGCTGACAGTGTACGGATAACAAAGCTATCGTCAAACTCAAAACCTTCACCCACATACTCTAATCAGATAACTTTGTCTTCAGAAGTGAACTCTTACTCGGCAGTGACAAAGCACTCAAGAACTGCAACTTTAAAGGAAAATCTTCCTACTTCAACAAAGACCAGTGTAGTCAACTTGACAGCTAAATCTGTGTTAGATTCAGGTGCAACATCAACCAAAACTTCTACAGTTGTGTCATCATCAAAGTCAAAAGCTGTGTCAGCATCAGGGCAAATGTCAACAAACAATTCTTTCGCAATTGACTCCACGTCTAAGTCAAAATCAATGTCGCCTGGCTCAGGAAATGCTGTGACTAAGGTGCCTGTAGTTGACTTGACATCCAAGTCAAAGGCAGTATCAGTTTCAGGGCAAACTTCAACAAAGTCTTTGGGACAGACTTCAGTGAAGGCACTGGGGAAAGTGCCTGAGAATGACTTGGCATCAAAGTCAAAGTCTGTTTCAACTTCAGGACCAGTAAGTGGTGGCTCTCACAAAAAGACTGAGGAACGAAAAACACCAGCTTCTAATAACAATGTAAGTGGCAACCATATTTCTACACAGAGTTTAAGTTTCTAAAGAATACATGGTTGACATTTTTTTTTTGAGGCTAAAGTGAGAAGTAACATGAGTTATTCATTCATTTACAAAACGTTATGGCATGACCATTCTTGGAATGTTTTAATTTTATTCCAATTTATTGTACAAAAAAAAAATGAGTAGAATTTTTTTCATCTTTAACTGTGGCTGCTGTAGTGGTAGGGTCGTCATAGAGATATTCAGCCACGTGTATACATTTTTATTGTAGGGAAGATGTACTTGTTCTCAGGTTAAAACAGTCTTCACTCCAGGTTACCGTCAGGGTTAAACTCCTAACATAAAGCTAATGCTTATATGCTGAGTACAGTTTTTACCTGAAAAAAAATTTTTTTTTAAAATTTTATTTGCCATACAGTAATTACAAAAAATATAGGAAAAGAAGAAAAAAAGAAGTGGCGAGGAGACCTAACAGAAACTATAGGAGCTTATGAGAGGTTAGGCCTCCTCGAACTATGAGCTAGAGCTGTTTCACATCAATTGAAGAAAAGAAGGCGAAATGGATTTTAAATTAGAGTGATTTCTCGTGCACTGATTGGTCAAGAGCTATGCCTAATAAGAGTACAGACTATAGAAGTGATGTGATGGTGGCGCAATTTGTTTTTCTCTTTATATCGCGTGCGATTTTCCAAGAAACTTCAACGGAAATGGACATCAAAAACTGTCAGTGTTATTACAGTGGAAAACAATAATTTTTCATGGCCCGTTCTTTTATCAATCATAGAAATGCCATCAAAATGTTCACAACTTTGCAGTAAAACCACTCACCTATGGCTAGTTCCACTCAAGTTTTGAACATTTTGACATCATTTAGAACTTTGGTGAAGAAAAGTACAGATCATGGGAAATTGTCGTTGATTTGTTAATCACCTTCAGCAGAAACTGTGGTTTGCTGGTGTTCCTGATGCTCTGACTTTTAGCCTGCAAGCAAGTTCTCTCTACATCGCCCCAATTGAGTGAGCTTTCCTGTAGGCTACCTAATCTTAAATCCTTGCCATACTTAGTACATTTGAAAATTTTTTATACATATTGATATTTGATATTAAAAGTAGCAAAATGAGAAAGTAAATGTCACGATCATTTAGAATAAATTATTAGCACCATCATCACTGCAAGTCTTGATTGATTTCTTTGCTTTAATCTTTTGTCACTAGCTGAAGTGCATTATGTATGAATTATTAAAGTAGTTTTTCTTTTAAAATGTTTAGAATGCAGTGGTTGTCACTTCACCAAAGCTGGTCTCAAAGACCAGTAGTCACCTGAATAAAGACAATGGCATAGGAAGACAAGGCCCCCCAACAACAGTTCTAAACACAAGCAAAAGTAGTAACAACAATCATCAAAATAGCAACATTACTAAAAACACCAACGGTAATTCCAAGGTCTCGTCAAAGCAGAAGAAAGGAAAATCAGCAAAGACTAAGAAGGGCAAGAGTTCGTGACGGAGCACAGAGAAGCCTATCTTAGAATAGGCCTGGTAATGTATCATAGCTTAAATTATCATTTACGATTTCTGTAACGAAAATATTGTAAAAAGGAGAAATGCGCTGAACATTGAATCAGTTAAAAAGAAACATATGAATATAGTTTTGAAAGAAAAAAATTAAATTATATATTATTAAGCATTTTAAACAACAACAAAGACATTTCAATATACATGCAATTTCATCCCAGCTTTGTTCCATGTGAAGAAGATCAGGTGAATGGTTTCAATTTTTTTTTATACTCAGCTTTTTAGTTGTTGATTCTTGAATGAAAATCTTTTCAAGCAACCAAGTGTGTAAGTAACACCTGCATGCTGCCCGCAAGTGTGGGGCCAAAGTATTGTTTGTTAATAACTACAGAGTGAAATATTTCCTTTTTGCATGTAGTTGAGTTTCTTCCCGCAAGCTGTTCTTCCTTTCTTGGAAGAGAAAAACTAAAGAAGTGGGGCATGCATGTATTTCTTGAGAGCCACTTAATTATCAGCAAAAAAACATAGGCTGTTGATATCAAATACAATTGGAACTTGAAAGTGAACCTTTTCACTGCAAGGTCAAGTTATAGTGGAACAATTTGGCACTTCTAACTTCTAAATCTTTGGATGAAATCCTTTAGTATTACCATTCAAGTGAAACCTCTTTGGAAGAACTTTTGTTTTGTGCTATTATTTTATTTCCCATTATGTTTAGACTGTTCACAGTCCCCTATTTTTTCGTGAATCGTCGAGATATAGCGCGTCTTTTAATGACAGCCATCTTGGTTTTCAAATGTACCGAGGGGGCGGGCGTCGGGGATTATAGCTCTAGGGGGAGGTGGGCGAGAAAAATAGAGGGACTGTAATAACATCACTGCAGTTTGCGTTCACAGAGCGCGTTGTACCAGCAACGCAGTCGTTTGATTGGTCATAAGACAATAGATGTTAATTTGCGTTGACAACGGGTTTAGTTTAAGTTGCCGACACTGACAAGTCGTTGACAAGTCGTCGTTTCTATAAAACGCACGCTTTCATACCTTAAGGTACAACTTGCGCAAACACACGAACGATTTTTGGTATTTTTCGGATGAATCACGTACGTCAACATGCTTTGGAAGCAGCCCGGCCGCGGGAATGTTGTAACACAGTTTCTGCCAAACGAATTGAAATTTAACGCAACGCCGACGCAAAAAAGATGACCTGTCAGAAATGCCTGGCTTTTTATCGGGAGGTTTTAACCATTTTAGTCTATGGTCAAATGAGCATGCTTAGCGATTCGATTAGGAAAATGTTTCTCTTGTGCCTGTTTGCCGATTTTTTTTGTAGGAATGGCCTAGTAACATTATAAAATCACTGTTTCGAAAGGAGATATTTGTAAACACGCGTAATCGATGCTAAATGTGTCTGGCATGTTTTTCATCGCCAGCGGAGTTTCTTAATTAATGAATGGTAAAAGGCGTGAAATTCCTGTCACGCCTCCTGAACGCGAGCTGCAGTGATGTTATTACAGTCCCTCTATTTTTCTCGCCCACCTCCCCCTAGAGCTATAATCCCCGACGCCCGCCCCCTCGGTACATTTGAAAACCAAGATGGCTGTCATTAAAAGACGCGCTATATCTCGACGATTCACGAAAAAATAGGGGACTGTGAACAGTCTACATTATGTTACAAATAGAAATTTTTCATCATCATGTTTTTTACATTGCCCGCTGTTAAGTAGAAGGGTTAAATTTCTTGAAGAAAATCCCCTTATGGTTATGTGATCCTACGGTCTTATTTTCTAGTTTTCCAGCTCATTAGGTAGAAAGGAAAGGAGACTTCATATGAAGTCCTAATCCGTAATCTAAAAAGTAATAACCAAGTATGTGACCATAAATCAAAGCTATTTAAAACAAAAATAACTTTCACTTGTCAAAAAAGTGGTGCTAGTTTAGAGCAAGGTATGGTAATATGTGATGCTGGACATTATGTACGTGGTCAGGTTAATAAGAACGACCTCTGCCGACACAGCTTTGATAAGAAAGAAATAGCTAATAATTGTTGCCTGTAAGCATGATGTGCATGTGCTTGACTTATTACAACCATGACGACCACCTTCGGGTGGAGGTGAGATGCCTCTCTAGGCAGGTGACCATCATGGGGAGGGAGGTAGGGGTGTGATGTGACATCAGTTTTTTTGTTGTTGTTGTGGGGGTGGGGGGGTGTTGGTGGTTAAAACATATATTTTCATGTGATATCCAAACAAGGAGAAGTGAGTTGGAAAAAACTTCATAGTATTTATTCTTCCTTTGTCACAATAGGTCATATTTCTTGATGTACAATGTAAACATTGTGACATTTCTAAGTTGCCACTTTTTGTGTTCAATATATTTTTCGTCATGACACTATATATACATCTGTGGGTTTGATAAAATACATATTTATATGAAATGGGTAGATTTAATTTTATTATTGTATATTTTAGCATGCTCTGGATTTGATGTTATTTGCTGGCATCTTTAATGCATAACAACTCAATGAAGTGACCATAAACAGGCAGCATTTATTTAAGAGCTTTTTTCTCTAAAGTTGTGGCTTAATTCATGATCCACCTTTTCTGCAATGTTGTGTAGCCTTCGTAAAAAGTTTTAAACAAATATTTACAATTTTAATTGCAAGTGCTTGTTTTCTCCTGATTATAGTTTCTGTTTGAAGATTAAGGCTGTTTCAGGTGTGTAAGTAGGAACCTTTAAAACAAATTGACTAGGAGAACAAGATTAAGTGTGAGTATTTATGCGTCATTGGCCCAGCGTGAGGCCAGGATGGCTGAATATTGGCTGAATTTTTTGCATTTTTATGGAGTGAGACGAAGTTTAGGTCCTTAAAATAGTGAAAAGGAACAAGGCCATCTCGACCGAACAACCTTGGTCAATAAAGGTTTTATTATATGGCCAAAAAAACTTTTTCTTGCAAGACCAGTAGGGGAACTCCTCAAACGGGTAGTCAACCAAATCACAGGATTTGCTTCAGGATTCAGCCATATAATAAAAGCTTTTGAACTAAGCTTGCGTGCTCTAGATCTTCACTTGTGACACCAACCCAGTCCGCCTTTGGTTTATTGTCAACATTGTCGTGTAGGTGTAAAGTGAGTGGGAGCAAAATTATTCTCTTGAACTGACCTAGTTTAGAAAAGATCTCAAGGTCCGCTGATGCAGTAAAATGCAGTCTAAGTTAGATTAAAATAGTTTAAGCTCTACGAGATGCAGAGATTTTAGAACTGGCTTAAAATTTTATAGCCTTATTGAACTCCATCTCATGCTATGAAATCTTTAGGTGGTTTGTATGGGGAAGAGAAAAGAAAGATTTAACATGTCAGTGAGAAATAGCCTTCTTCTTTCCAGTTTTAACTTGTGTGTACTCCCTTGTAATACGTGCCTTGCGCTGGTTTTTGTTCTCCACTATTCAAACGCATGCGAGACGATTACTAAAATTACAATCAGATTTACAATTTATTGAAAGAGCTAGATAATATACAAAAAATAAATTAGATTCCTTTTTTCAAAAAAAAGTGCAATTATTTGATCAGGTGTCGTTTCTTCTTGAAGAAGAATAACATCAAACATAGTTACAGTGGAACCCCATTAATACGGTCACCAATGGGCAAAAAACATTTGGCCGTGTTAACGAGGGGTTTTTTTTACAAGAAAATATATGGCGGTTTTTGCCAGGCGGCCCAAAAAAAGTGGCCGTAATAAGGAGGTGATCGTATTACCGAGGTGGCCGTAAGGCGGGGTTTCACCGTAATATTAAAGTACTAAAATAAATAGAGTGATTCGTTATTTTGATAGCTGAAAATTATTTGACACCAGTTGTGACTCTTCAGACTTTGGGTGAAAATCTTAATTATTTTTGAACGGCCATTATTGTTTTCTTGATAAGATGTTTATTTCTCAAACTTAAAGGTATTTATTTAACGAAGTAGTAGCATTTATGTTTAGGACAAAATTTTTAAACTTGCTGCCTGCATGCAAGTTTGCTGCAGTTTTTGATTTTCTGTTTAAAATAACAGAACTTTGCTAATAACTTCAAGGATTTCGATATTAGTGGGAAATTACAACGAGCAAAATGGTGTATTAATTGAACTTTTTTGTACAATAATGTATATTTTCTTTTTCTGTGCTTGTTTGCTTTTTGTGTTTACTCTATTGTCGTGTTGTCTTGTTTTATGAACGTGTTATTACTCAACCCGCTTGTTCAAAAGCTGGATAGCGCTATCCAGCGGATAAGTATTTAGGAAACCAATTGCCAGGGGCGCAGCCGGCACATAGACTTGTAGGCTTGGGCCTACAACTTTTTGGTTTGATCACCCTACTGCTTGTAATAAATTATGCGTTGTTGGAGTGAGCTGTTTTGGTGAGATCAGTGCGTACTAGTCAGGCGTGTAATTTTCAGGATCTGTGGAAATGAAAGTCAGCCAGGCCTACAACTAGTCGAAAAGCTGGCTGCGCCCCTGATTGCGTGATCCACTGGATAGAGATTAATCCAATGGATAGGGCTATCCACCTTTTTAACAACGGGGAGCATTAGCTCTTCATTGTTCCAGGTTTACTTTTAAGGTTATTGTTTTATATGTTCAGTTATAATTAGCTTGGGTAAATTTTTGCTTAGACTGGGCTAAAACGTCTATTCTGACTAAACAACACATAATTTTCTATTTGTTTCTTTAGTACTTCGAGTGTTGCAAGGTTTATTTAAGCATATATAGTATACATCTACGACATCCATTTGTAACCAATTACATTTGTAGGTTTATTGTACCTCAGCTAAAATAGTTAATGTTTACATTTTTGTAAAATCATCCGATACCATACTCTCCCTTTTCTTCTTGTCACGCAACGTTGCGTGACGAGGCGAAAACAGCTGCGAGGAAGACTGCCGATACCAGTACCATACCAATTGTAGGAACTCCGTCCTTTCGCCTGAATGATTAATTCAGTCACCGGAAATTCTGATTTAGATTCTCCCAAACAGATAGAGATCCTCAGACCATCTCAGAACAGTGGCGGTTCCAGGGTTTCCCCCCCCCTTATTTTTGACCAAACTGAGGCCCGAAGGGCGGAAAAAATTTTGGGGGGAGACTTATTTCTGATTAGAGGTCAAAATTTGTGACATTGTCCCATCTCGTTACTTAGCAGAAGCAAATATCTACGATAGGGGATTAAAGATGAGAACGCTAGAGGATTGCGTAAATCTGTCTTAATTTGACAGAAAGAGGCAGAAAAAAATTGTCTGGTTGTCTTTGCTTACTGCTTTTCACAAACGTAAAAAGTTTATAGTTTACATCATAATCATTTTGTGTAAATTAAATTAATTTTATGTACATAGAATCCAGTACTCTAGTAGAGTTTGCACTATATTTTGACCAACATTAAAATACCTGAATTGTAAACTTTCTAAAAAAGTAATTTTTATACATGTAACTTAAAGAAGTCTGGGAAAAAAGAATAAAGTTGCGTCATATGACAAACGAATGTTGTTGCGTCACTGTAACAAGTAACAATTCGTTCTCAGAATCTCTCTAGTAACTTCATATTGTATCGTCGTTAAAATAGCTATCAGGGAATTGCTACGTTCAGGAACGTTTTTGTAAACGGTCTCCAGAGCGGATGAGTTCTCGGACAGCGGTAAAACCACAAATTTGTACGCTGTAGCATGATAACTTGACAAACTTAAATCGCTCGCATTAGCACAGGCCAAGAGAGTGTACGTCTTTTCTCAAATAATTCAATGGCTTGGTGTCTTCTTATCCTTGCCCAGGGGTTGATCTCTTTAAGGTTTCCTATAAGGTAGCTAGTTAAAGAGTGTATCATAAATACCTGCCTCTTTTCAACGGCTTGCCCTGTTCGGTAAGTCCGCGACAATTATGTACCAGTAAAATCCAAAACTGCCCATCCCCCAGGGCATTTGACCAGAGTTTTGCTTTGTACAGTGGGGAATTTGACTCAAAATGAGGCCCGCCCCGTCGGGCATTGACTTTCGTGTTAAAATGCTAGCTGGTCAGCGTTCAGCATGTGCACCGCGTTCACGAGTCATTGCTCCTATTATCCTCTTTTGTTCATATTCACTTCATGTTTTGTTGGAGCATTTGAGAGCTTTTTAAAGAGCCCGTTAACGTGGCCCGAACCTATTTATATGCGTGTTGATTATCTTTTTTAATTGCGTTTTTCAGCGGGAACGATTTAACCGATTTCTATGAGTTTTGGCATCCTTATTAAAGAATGGTCGAACATTGAGAAAATATTATTTATCTCCTTGAAGGTATAAAAAGGTTTGAGATATTGGCATATATTTAAAACCGCATTTTTATATTTTCAAAAGCCCAGGAAAGATTTTTCCCTTACCTCATCAAAGAAGCCTCAGCTCTCTCTAGTTTTTTATCTCCAAGTTTGAAGTCAATCGTGACCATACAACTCGCTGCACATGCTACGCTAACACAGATTTAGATTTGCCATCACATTCGTACGGGCAGTTTGCCATTGGAGATCCCGGCCCCAAATGAGACGAATAAGACGATTGTCATTTTTTTCTTCATCTTTTTCCCAAGTGGCAAAATTCCTGCGCGAATGTGATGGCAAATCTAAAACTAAACCCTTGAATAAATTACAAAGTACAAGGGTTTTCATTGCAGCTGGGAAATGGATGGTTGGAAGGACTGAAGCTTTTAGCGTTATTTCTCCTCAAAATGGGTACCTAGGACGCTAAAAACTGGTAGGGGATTTCCGTAGATCTTTAATCTTTAATCACAGTTCGTAACCATACATAACTGATACAAATGAACTAATACTAACATATACAATCGAACAAAAATACAAAAATGGTTAACAGGACGGTAGTAGGGGGAAACCAAATTCCCATGCTAAGACATACCTTCCAAAAAAGAAAAAAGAAAAAAAGAAAAAAATAATTAATTAATATATAAACATATATTAAAAGACTATAAATTAGACTATAAATTATAAACCTAGATGCCTAATAATAATGCATAAACTTATATTAAAGACACTATGCCTAATATTTTAAGGTAAATTATGAGCGAAGGTACTTAATCAGTGAAACTTTAAAAGACTGAAGGCTAGGAGATGACATTACTTCAGAAGGCAAAGAGTTCCAATCATTAATATATCTATGAAAAAATGAATATTTAAAATAATTTGTACGGGCAACTTTAGGCCTTATTTTATACTCATGCTTACTTCTAGTTCGAGTTATTC